GCCTGTGATTATGCATTACATATAGTACTTCAAATTATCAAAATGTACAGAATGACCAAGATCTTGTGACTGATTTAATCACAGATTTTGGATTTGGTTCCATTTCAGAGTGATAGCTCAACAGTATATTATACATACCGTAATTCAATGAAGAAAGTAGGCTTTTCAGGTTTGGGAAGATTTCCTTTCTGAGTAAAACCCCTTCCACCATTTAAATGATCTCACTCCAGTATAGATTGATCTATGTATTACGAGTGCTGGGGTAAAGTCCCCTTATTTTTGCAAAACTATTGCATTCATGTAAAAACAGGGGGGGGTAGTGTTCTCCTTATCTGAGGAAGAATGTTTTCTTATACAAAGAGGGGAAGGGGTTTTAGTTCACTGTAGCTATATAAGATGGTCATGTCCCCCCCCTTTATTTTACTTTTAAAGCAAGAGACCTGTGCCATTCACAACGGTGTGGACTTCTCTGTGTTGGTTCTCTCAGCTTGCCCTGCTTAAAACACCTTCATAACAATGCACTACAATGTGGCATCATAGTGTTCCCTAGCCACTCTACCAAGTGTATCAGAAAATCAAATCTCCTTGGGTGACACCCAATGATGTCAGTCCACATGCACAACAGACTTCTGCTCGTGCAATGGGTTTTTTTCTTCCTCTTAGCCCCAGCTAAGCCCCAACCCACATAATCAATCACAAGATGCAGCCCACACCCCCTATTTGAATGGTAAGGCCCATCAACTTTGCCCTCCTCCCAGACATCCTCAAATATTTTACTGCGGATGCGGATGCGGGGGGGGGGGTTTGAAGTGACTTCGGCCCTCAGGAGTTGGCTTCCCAAAGGGAATTCCCACTGAATCTGCTAATATAACATTGGATATTGCACCATCTCTTTTAAATCTCAAACCAAGTGTGTTTGTATGAGCATGTACATTTAGCAAATGGGACAAGATTCCCTTCCATGCGGCCATTTCACACAATTTTTTTTTAGGTTTATACACATGATGATTTGCACATGCACATTAAACATGCAAAATATAGCATGGCAAACCTGTATCATGAGCATACATTCATCAAGAGTGGATGCTAGCTGTGACTTCTAACAACATGTATACAGTGGTACCTTGGTTTACAAACTTAATCCGTTCCGGAAGTCCGTTCTTAAACCAAAGCTTTCTTAAACCAAGGTGGGCTTTCCCATAGCAGCAAGGGAACTCCATTTACAAATGGAACACACTCAGCAGGAAGCGAAACATGTTCTTATTCCAAGGCAAAGTTCACAAACCCAAAACACCTGCTTCTGGGTTTGCAGCGTTCTTAATCCAAGTTGTTCATAAACTAAGCTGTTCTTAAACCAAGGTACCACTGTACAGGGGATGAACATGAGCTTGCTGCCACCTATGCTAAGCAGCCCACAGTCTGATTCTTTGCTTAGCACTCCTTCTTTGGGATGCATAGGATCAGACTTAAGGGTGCCTGTGCAGCACAATTGCTGGCATTACCACCCACAACTACAGAACTGGCAGAGCAGGTGTCTACTTCCTTCTTTATCTAACATTTCCTTCAGTCCCTACCTGCTCCATAACTGTTTTTACTGGTAACAGGTGTTGGGTTTTTTAAAGCGACTGCAGCAGCATACTGCTTTTTTTAAGGAATCCACATGTGTTGAAATCAATGAGGCTTTATGCATACATTACATTATGTGCAGGACTGCAGTTGGTTTCTGTTACTTTTTTATTAGGGAAACATGTTAGATATTATTAGCTGAAATGTGGAATTGAATTTCTGAGTTTTAATGGTTTATTTTGCTGCAGTGTTTTTCTTTTAAATTGTTCAAACTAGTTTTGTATGATGGTGTTGATGGGTTGTGAAATGTTTTACACTCGTATTTTAAATTATTTTGATTGGCATTAGATTTTGTAGCTTTATGTTTTCATTGTATGTAAGTTGCCTTGGGGGTAGGTTTTTGGTTTTTACTCCAAAAGCCTGCATGGAAACATAAGTAAATATATATTTTAAAACCTGTTCTTCACCGCTCTTCTTGAACACCCTGCACGATCCTAAAGGCACATAATAACTTGAGAATTAAACACCTGCTAAACAAACAGTGTAGCATGTGCTCAATTTCTGAATAAAAAGTTCAGTGGCTCACCTTAGATTTCCATGAATAGGTTATGCTTGTTCAGGTTCATTGGAATGACTTTCAAAGAATACCTTTTCCATTCTTTTTTTTTTTTAAATAAATTTTTATTAATTTTCCATAAGTAAAAAAGAAAACAAAGCAAAAACATAAATAAACACAAAAACGACTTCCCCGTACCACCCCTTTTCTGCATTCTTGTTTCAAGATTTTTCAGCAACCCTTTCGTATTAAACTTATTTCTATTTCGTAAATTTAACTTCCATAAGATATTAAAACAACTGTAGTTCTTTATCTCTTATTACCCTGATCCTCTAATTTTCCAAATTACAACAGTTTTTAAGATAAACTTTAAATTTGTTCCAGTCTTCATCCACCGCCTCTTTCCCCCGGTCTCGGATTCTGCCAGTCATCTCTGCCAGTCCCATATAATCAATCACCTTCGTCTGCCATTCTTCCAACGTGGGTAGATCTTGTGTCTTCCAATACTTTGCTAGAAGGATTCTTGCTGCTGTTGTGGCATACATAAAAAATGTCCTATCCTTCTTTGGCACCATTTGGCCCACCATACCCAGAAGAAAGGCTTCTGGCTTTTTATTAAAAGTTCTCTTCAGAACTTTTTTAATTTCATTATAGATCATTTCCCAGAAAGCCTTAATCTTCGGGCAGGTCCACCAAAGGTGATAGAAGGTTCCCTCCGTTTCATTACACTTCCAACACTTGTTATTGGGCAGATGATAAATCTTTGCTAACTTAGCCGGAGTCATGTACCACCTGTAGATCATTTTCATAATGTTTTCTCTTAAGGCATTACATGCCGTAAATTTAACACCAGTGGTCCATAACTGCTCCCAGTCAGCAAGCTCAATGTCATGCCCTATATCCTGTGCCCATTTAATCATACTAGATTTCACCATTTCATCTTGAGTATTCCATTTCAACAGCAAGTTGTACATTCTTGACAAGTTTTTAGTATTGGATTCTAACAGTTCTGTTTCTAGTTTTGACTTCTCCACTTGGAAGCCTACCTTTTCCATTCTTTACCAATTCACGCAGGAAGAAGACTCAAGGCTACTGTAGCATTCCACAGAATTTACTTTTCCCTCATACGGTTTATATGAAAAGCAATTATGTTTACTTGGCCCTCTGCTCTTTTTACCCTACATTGGCTTTGCCCTCTATTACTTCAGGACAAAGGAGCTTTTGTCTGGCTGAATTTATTTAGCAACTGTAACTGTTCAAGTATGTTCTGACTGCCAAGAGAATACAAGGCCATTGATACCAGGAGAAAGCATTTCTCTTTTCAAGCAAATACCTAAGGCTGTTAAGAACTTTTATAGCAGCTGCATCTGTATTTTATTTTATCAGTAAGGGAGGGGCTTTATTTTACCAGTTAGGGAGGGGCTTATTTGATGATTATTATCTAACAATCATGGCCAAACCTGTGAACAATATTACTTTCCTCATCACCATAAAAGGGATGAATGGGATACCAGGAGATTTTTCTGCTTACCATTTTGCTCTCACAAAAAAGACTGTCTCCTTCTTCTTGAGCTAACACTTCTTAAGCTTGGTTGTGTTGCAGGCTAGTGCTCTGGTTTGCAAATTTTTTGCAGATTACATTGTGGCTTTCCAGTGAGAAACTGCTTCAAACATACGCATGGACTCTAAAGAGTAGCATCTGGACTAACACTGCTGTTTTCAGGGTTTGAAAATAATCTGGTGGAAATGTGTACCTTATTTAAGCACGATTAAACGTTTAATGAAATGTTCCTGGTCACTGCTAGGTCAGCTTCAATTAGTGTGCAGTTGAATGCATTGTAGATTTGTGAGGGGTAAACTACAGTTCCCAGGATTCAGCGGGGAGCCACGTGCTTTAAACAGATGATCAGGGTGTGCTTCTGTATGATCTCTAATACTATGGTCACATCCACACCATACATTTTAAGCACATTTCTGGAGGGGCTTGTTTAGCCTGATTGGAAACTTCTGACCCATAGAGCTACTTTTGGACATGACGGCACTGCCTGTTGCCTCTTGCCCTTTGGGTTCTGTTGGGAAATAGCCCCCCTCTCCCCGTTCACTTGGGGCAGTTGCTGAAGGAGGATTTGTATTGCAGGATCCTGGTCTGAGTTGGGGGGGGGAGAAGGAAGGAGGGAAAGCATTGGGGGGCAGGGCCAGATTTAGGTTTGGTGAGGACCTAAGCTACTGAAGGTAATGGGGCTCTTTATATATCCAGCTGTCCTTTCTCAACAACCAATTCTTGCTGGTTTTTGTGTTGAATATATGCTATATGGTAATTTATGGACCTAATAGGTATCTAAAGCCATTTGCACATGTTGCCATGCAACCAGTCCATGCAGAATGTAGGCACCCTATATATGGAAATAAGCAAACCAGTGATATTTTAGGGAGCAAGCTAGCAGGGTGGGGCCCATTGCTTACATTGTAGGAGCCTATACAACACAAACCACTGTTGCTGTATGCAGGTGTTTGTTGTTTTTTATCTTATATTTTGGAAATGTGCATCCAGTTTTTTCCCCTTTACATTTTTTGGGGCCCCCCGAGAGTGGGGCCCTAAGCTATAGCTTGTTTAGCTTACATGCAAATCTGGCACTGATGGGGTGTGTGTGTTAAGGCAGAACCATCGTTCCCCACTCACTGTCTGTCACACACGGATAATCTCCAGGTGAGGTGGGTGGAATCACCCTTCCATATGTACTTTTCACTTGTTACACATTTTTTTAAAAGCATATATGCTTTATGCCAGTCAAAAGCTTGGGTGGCAGTTTTTAAACTGATCCACTGCAAACTGCAACTACTTAGAAAACAGCAGGGAACCAGCAACAAACCCCGATTCCGAACTCAGCCACACAGGACAGCCGGCTCCGTTGGCTCAACTTCAAGGGAAAGTTGGAAAGCGCTGCGAGAAAGGCCAACTTTCCCGCCATCCTCCTTTGCCTTCCGTTAACTTCTACCTGTTGCACCGCTGTTCCAACCAAGCCCCATTGGACCCGGCCACGCTGTCTCCTGCTTGCTCCGTCGACGAGCGAGCAAGAGGAGGGCCGAGGGACCCGCAGAGCCTCGGGGTGGCCGCCAAGAGCTGCAGCGAGACTCGCGTCCCTCGCCCGGTGGCCGGGAGGCGGCGGCTCTGAGGCGCCCTCCGCTTCTCGGCTGGGGCAGGAGGAGAGGGGCGGAACTACCGCCAGCCAGAGCCCAAACTTTCCCCGGCATGTGTCCTTGGGCGAGGCACGCGCCCAGCGGCAGGAGCGCGGAGAGGAGGGGAGCCGCGCGCTCGCCCGGGACCCTGGCGGCAGCATGAGCCCGTGGCGCTGCGCAGCGGCCCAGGAGAGGAGGCCGGGGAAGGGCTGCGCGCTGCGCCTCTGCCTGCTCTCCGCCACCCTCCTCCTCTGCCTGCTGCAGCTGGGGCTCCGGCGCTCCTGGGACGCCGACCAGCCCGCCAAGGAGGCGCGCAAGCCGCCTCTCCCGCCGGGAGCTCGCAGAGCTGAGAAGGCGAGCGAAGCGACCAGCAGGCGGCAGGTGACCTACGTGAGGAGCGGCCGCCGCAGGGGCCCAGCCGAGCCCACCTGTTGCCTCCAGGGGGCGCCCCCGAGCGACGCCCGCAAGAAGGTAAGAATGGCCGCCTCCGTGCGGTCGGTGGTTCACCCTTCAGTTGGGTTCAGGCCTGGTGGGCGGGAGGAGGTAATCATATGAAGGAGAATCCCAGAATCATGGAAAGGACCCGGTGGGTCATCTAGTCCAACCCCTTGCAATGCGGTGCATTGAGGCCCTGAGGTTGCCAGGAGATGATGTTAAATTATGAGGTGGCCTTGGGTTGTCTGCTGGGAGTCTCAAAAGGGATGGTTTCGTTTCTTTCTCTCTTGGCTGTTTATGCATAGTACATTTAAGCACATCCAACCTCCAAGAATTGTAGGCGCTGTAGTTTGCCAAGCAAAACTACAATTCCCAGCACTATTAAACTGCTCTTCCCAAGATTATTGGGGGGTGGGGTGGCGTGTGAGCTTTATTCAGGTGGTCTGTGGCATGTTTTTGTTTTGTGGTTGAATATGGGATTTTTGTTTTTATGCTTTTTTATATTGTATTTTGTTTTATTACAGTTTTAATTCTGTGTAATAAAGATTGTAGTACAATAAAATACAATATATGCATGAAATAAATCAATGGTGAGGCATGCACTGAGATTGAGCTGGTAAAGCTGTCACCAAATTGTAAAGTGAGGGGCCCTGTGCAGCTGTCTAATCTGAAAAAGTGACCTTGGAAATATTCTACAGAAATCTGGAGCATCCATAGGATGTGTATTCTGGAATAAAAGGCATCCCTTGACAATAAATATTGTAAGGCAACCATAAGTCATGAGTGCTAGACTGGTACATTTATTTAATCTCTGCCTAGCAAATCTATTTCCATTATGGCAGGTAGCCCCATATGCTGGTAAAATTGCCTTCAAAAATAAGGTTAAGGTTGATTTGGGAATTTGAAGTTGTTCGTAAACTTGGGGCCCAGACAGGGTTTGAAGCAGTTGAGCCAAAGAGATCATGAGAAGTAAATTAGTTTTTATGATGAGGGACTCAAAATGCTGTCCTCATCTGGAACAATAACAACCTGAAGCAATACAAGCTCTGTAATGAGGACAGAGTTCAAATGTGATCAAAGAATGTCGGGCTTTGAGACTCTGCAGTAAGATTGCAGTCTGAAGCAACCTAAACTTTGAAGTAAACCCACTTGCAATCAGTGGGATTTGAGTAAACATGATTTAAGGTCAGGCTGTTCAGATATCAACTGGTGTCTCAGATCTAAATAGCCATGTACTTCAGGGAAATGTCATTTTCAGATCTGCATTATGTCCGGTCCTCTCTACATGAGTGCCCTTCATCAATTAGAAATGATTATTGGTGGCAGTAATTTCCCTCTTTAAAGTGTATCAGATGTCCCCAGAAGTACTTCAAAGAAGAAAAGCTGTTGCCTGTCCTTCATTGCAGATACCTTACTGTAACTCATTTCCTACATTTTATCTGGATAATGTGTATATGTGTGTGTGTGTGTGTGTGTGTGTGTACGTACGTACGTATGTGAATGGTAAGCTGCATTGTGTTAAGGCAGGACAAATATTTTATGAATAATTAAGCGGTTCTTTCTCTCTCTCTCTGCCTCTGCTTTTCTTTTTTCTTTAATAATAATAATAATAATAATAATAATAATATATTATTTATACAATACCCCGCCCATCTGGCTGAGTTTCCACAGCCACTCTGGGCAGCTCCCAATCAAGTATTAAAAACAATACAGCGTTAAATATTAAAAACTTCCCTGAACAGGGCTGCCTTCAGAAGTCTTTTAAAGATAGGATTGCTACTTATTTCCTTCACATCTGAAGGGAGGGTGTTCCACAGGGTGGGCGCCACTACCGAGAAGGCCCTCTGTCTGGTTCCCTGTAACCTTACTTCTTGCAATGAGGGAGCCGCCAGAAGGCCCTCGGCGCTGGATCTCAGTGTCCAGGCTGAACGATGGGGGTGGAGACGCTCCTTCAGGTATACTGGACCGAGGCCGTTTAGGGCTTTAAAGGTCAGCACCAACACTTTGAATTGTGCTCGGAAATGTACTGGGAGCCAATGCAGATCTCTCAGAACCGGTGTTATGTGGTCCCGGCGGCCACTCCCAGTCACCAGTCCAGCTGCCGCATTCTGGATTAATTGCAGTTTCCGGGTCACCTTCAAAGGTAGCCCCACGTAGAGCGCGTTGCAGTAGCCCAAGCGGGAGATAACTAGAGCATGCACCACTCTGGTGAGACAGTCCGTGGGCAGGTAGGATCTTAGCCTGCATACCAGGTGGAGCTGGTAGCCAGCTGCTCTGGACACAGAATTAACCTGCGCATCCATGGACAGCTGTGAGTCCAAAATGACTCCCAGGCTGCGCACCTGGTTCTTCAGGGACACAGTTACCCCATTCAGGACCAGGGAATCCCCCACACCCACCCGCCCCCTGTCCCCCCAAAACAGTACTTCTGTCTTGTCAGGATTCAACCTCAATCATTTCAGGGATGCTTTTGTTTGTTTTTAGGAACATAGGATGGGTTAGACCAGTGTTTCTCAAACACTGCTCTGGGATTCACCATTGGACCTTGTACCACTTTCAGGTGGGCCTCAGTGCCACAGCCTGCCCAGTGCCACCCTAGCTATGCTATTTCTAAGTGATTCCCACCATAGCCTTGGATGGCTGCTACAAAAAGCTCCAGTACGCAGACACTCTTTGTATTTGTGGTCAACCTCGGATGGAAGACATCACCCATTATTAGAGCAGCAAGCAAAGTTTAAAATCAAGGAAGTCAGACCCTAAGCCCTTTACCAGATGTTACTATTCTTTTTGGGCCTGTGGTCACATTTGCAAAACAGAGGAACAGTTTGGGCAGTATGTGCATGCTGCAACTCTCCCCCCTCCCCAGCTGTAACCCCACTAAAATCACCCCATGCCTCAATTAGGCTTGGGGAAAAAAAATCATTCTATTACCCTTGGAAGAAGCCATCTTTAGCTCATTTCAGAAGGGGGGGGTGAGACCCTGTGGGCATCATAAGTGGCTTCTGTGGGCAGCTGTGTGCCCACAGGTACCACATTGGTGACCCATGCTCTTACAGTGCAATCCTAGACATGTCTATTCAAAAGTGAACCCCATTGAGTTCAATAGGACTTGCTTCCTTGGATTGCTTTGTAAATGTAAAAGTTATTCTACCCCCACTTCTCCTCCAGCAGTTAAAATGGATTACAGAGAAATTTAAAATACTGATAAGGATCGTACTCTCAGATGTTTGAAATGATGTTCTTAATATAATCCTTAAATAACCACAAGGTTTAGATGAATTGTTGGGGGAAAATTTGCTTTGCTTTGTTTTATTTTTGATAAAGACTATCAGGAATAGCGGTATTCTTCTATGAGTAAACTTTGTGATGAAGGTTTTTGGCATGCTCATCAGGGACTTCCTGCTGGGAGCCGCAGGTAAAGAGAAAAAATGCACAGGGGCTATGCTGAAAAGATTTTGAAATATTTCATAAAGTTCTGCCTCTTATCAGATGCAAGGATCTTGATTGCAGATTATCTCCATAACTGCAAGCAATTTTAATCATATTAATCATATGGATTTGTTCTTCTTAGTCTGTGTTAAAATAACACATTGAGAGTTAAATGGCTTCTGTCTTCACCTTCAGGCTGTTTTTATGTAAAGTTATAACTGCTAAGTACATTTATCTGATTTTTTAAAAGCTGAATGTATGGAAAACACCAATAAAAAACAAAAGGATTGTCCTTTGCAGCCCAACCATGTGACAGATCTGGTAAACACCAGAGCCACCAATATAATTCTTCAGCATGTTTGCCAAGAAACCGGATGTTTCTACACTTTCTGGTTTATAAAAAACATATTCTCCCACTTGGCATTCACAGTACATCACAGCCATCCAAAGAATAACTAGTGGAGAGAAATGATGTGTTATGATTTGCAAAATGAAAGCATGAAGCCCTCTTTATAGCCTGATAGAGTAGCCAAGATAAAATTGTCAAGTATGTCTCAAAATGCCACAATGGGAAATAAATGTATGATGACGATTTTAAACAATACCAACAAAAATCAGGTTTTTTATTTTCATAAATGCACATATTTGTCCTTCATGGCTGCTAGCAATTATGAAGCCTACATATTACTCATTGCCTCAACTGCAGCTAAGAAAATAGAATGGAAGTTTACGTTTTCATATTTATTTATGCATTCATTAAATGTTTAGTAAAGGTAAAGGTACCCCTGCCCGTACGGGCCAGTCTTGACAGACTCGGGGGTTGTGCGCCCATCTTACTCAAGAGGCCGGGGGCCAGCGCTGTCCGGAGACACTTCCGGGTCACGTGGCCAGCGTGACAAGCTGCATCTGGCGAGCCAGCGCAGCACACGGAACACCGTTTACCTTCCCGCTGGTAAGCGGTCCCTATTTATCTACTTGCACCTGAAGGTGCTTTCGAACTGCTAGGTTGGCAGGCGCTGGGACCGAGCAGCGGGAGTGCACCCCGCCGCGGGGATTCGAACTGCCGACCTTTAGATCGGCAAGCCCTAGGCGCTGAGGCTTTTACCCACAGCGCCACCCGCGTCCTATTAAATGTTTATCCTGTGCCTTTAGCTCATCCATGCTCATTATAAAAGACTAAAAACAGTGCAATCATACATTTTTTAAATAAAAACAACAACAACAAATAAGATCAAAATAGCAGGTAGAACATAATAAATACAATGCAACACATAAGCATTTCATCAATGGCTTACTTAATAGGTTTTAAAATGAAAGTTTAGGAGAATAAAAAGGTATTTTGCCTGGCACTGGAATGATATCAGTGTATGCAGGTGAGCTTCCCTGGGGAGACATTCCAAGGCTGAGTACCTTGGAATAGTTCTTTGGCCACATCTGCACTATGCATTTAAAGCACTGCTATAGCATTTTAACAGCCATGACTTCCCCTGAAGAATCCTGTAGTTTTAAGAGTTCTTAGAAGACCACTAGTCCACTCAGTTACAATTGTTAGCAATCAATCCCCTTTCCCAAGGAACTCTGGGAACTGTAGGTCTGTGAGGGGAATA